CGACGAAGTGAACGATTGAATACCTCGAGACCTGACATGTGCGCTCCGGCCGGTAGCATCATTGATGAGGTGTTCTGACGAGGAGAGAGCTTCTTCAGGTTCTAGACCTCTCTAATCCGAGAATCGGTTTAGCACTCACACTGTACACATTCAGACAGCAAAAGAAACAAAGCGAAAATAACTTAATAAAACTGTAGTGCGAAGCAAGATTCGGCCAATTCTGGAACACTTTTCTAAAACTGAACGCGACGAAGTGAACGATTGAATACCTCGAAACCTGACATGTGCGCTCCGGCCGGTAGCATCATTGATGAGGTGTTCTGACGACGAGAGAGCTTCTTAAGGTTCTAGACCTCTCTAATCCGAGAATCGGTTTAGCACTCACACTGTACACATTCAGACAGCAAAAGAAACAAAGCGAAAATAACTCAATAAAACTGTAGTGCGAAGCAAGATTCGGCCAATTCTGGAACACTTTTCTAAAACTGAACGCGACGAAGTGAACGATTGAATACCTCGAGACCTGACATGTGCGCTCCGGCCGGTAGCATCATTGATGAGGTGTTCTGACGAGGAGAGAGCTTCTTAAGGTTCTAGACCTCTCTAATCCGAGAATCGGTTTAGCACTCACACTGTACACATTCAGACAGCAAAAGAAACAAAGCGAAAATAACTCAATAAAACTGTAGTGCGAAGCAAGATTCGGCCAATTCTGGAACACTTTTCTAAAACTGAACGCGACGAAGTGAACGATTGAATACCTCGAGACCTGACATATGCGCTCCGGCCGGTAGCATCATTGATGAGGTGTTCTGACGAGGAGAGAGCTTCTTCAGGTTCTAGACCTCTCTAATCCGAGAATCGCTTTAGCACTCACACTGTACACATTCAGACGGCAAAAGAAACAAAGCGAAAATATCTCTATAAAACTGTAGTGCGAAGCAAGATTCGGCCAATTCTGGAACACTTTTCTAAAACTGAACTCGACGAAGTGAACGATTGAATACCTCGAGACCTGACATGTGCGCTCCGGCCGGTAGCATCATTGATGAGGTGTTCTGACGAGGAGAGAGCTTCTTCAGGTTCTAGACCTCTCTAATCCGAGAATCGCTTTAGCACTCACACTGTACACATTCAGACAGCAAAAGAAACAAAGCGAAAATAGCTCTATAAAACTGTAGTGCGAAGCAAGATTCGGCCAATTCCGGAACACTTTTCTAAAACTGAACGCGACGAAGTGAACGATTGAATACCTCGAGACCTGACAGTGCGCTCCAGCGAGAAAGTGATTCAGCCGTAGCATCATTGACGAGGTTCTGACGAAGAGAGAACTTCTTCAGGTTCTAGACCTCTCTAATCCGAGAATCAAAACTCGAAAGTCGATTTTCCGTCAGGTCCATCTCCGTTAAACTCGAAGGCTTGTGAGATCGAGAATCATATGATCGAGATCATCCGCCCGTGATTCAGCTTCAGCGTCCATGCAAAAAACCTAGAGATGCAGACGGGAAAGAAGCTTGAACCTGAAGCTTGTTTAGCAGAGAAATGCAGGTTGAGGTACTGCTTGTGCTCGATTTATGGAATTCTGACCGTTGTGCGTCAAGAAACGATCTCTTGGTATTTAAACGCGGGATCAGGCCTGATGTTTGGGCTCGAGGCCCAATTTGAATGGTGGGCTTTTTAAAAACTGATCCAATACAAGCCCACAACTATGTTTGAGTAGACCCATTTAATAATCATTTACGTTTTTATTATTTGTCTTTTAAAATTGTATTTATTTTCATTTTTCTAAATAAATTTCATCTTAAATAAAGATTATAAATCCTAAAAATAAAAAATTAAACAATTTCCTTATTTCTCAAAACTTTATTTAATTTAAGTAGTATTTATAGACTTTTTTAAAAAAAGTTAAAAAATAAAATTGTTATCAAAGTCTAATATTTCATTTCTATTTTCTTTTTTTTTCACGACTTATTTAATTCTAATTCATTAAGAAAATAAAAATAAAATCTATATTTTCAAAATTTGGCCTAGTTTAAAAACATCTCATTTATAAATATTTGTAGGTTAGATAATATTTAAAAATTCAACAAATTTTCAATTCATATTTTAATTTAATGTCAAATCTTGATGCAATTTCTTTTTAAATTAATTTACTTTCCCTTCTTGCCATCCAGCTATGGAAGTTTCTCAGAAACATCAAATCGTATAATTAAGTATAAATACAAATACAAGGATATTCTTTCTTTGATATTATTGTCTTCCTTGTTTTTTTAAATGATTTTTTTAGTAATGGTTTTCATAATTGTTATTTATTTATTTATTATTATTATGTGTTACACATACAGACAGGTGGTATGTCAATATCAAACAGACCACTAAGATTGAGAATACCAACTATTTTTAATTATATATATATATTTATAAAAAAAAAAAAAAAAAAAAAAAAAAAAAAAAAAAAAAAAAAAAAACTAAGAAATATGTTTTAAAATATAGAATAGAGACTTGTGTTTCACGAGGCACACCTTCAATTCAATTAAATTTGTAGTGTTAGTTGGACATATTTGCTTGCATTCTTTTTAAGAAATTCTTAAGAAAAAATTATGGTTTTTAATGGATTAAAAGTCGAGGAGTATAAACTTTTATTTCTTTTTTCTAAAATAGCTAGTTTGGAATTTGGATTTTGAATGTATGTGTCCAGCATTCCCCTGCATCTCCTGCGACATAGTAGTCTTATTATTTACTCTTGCTTTTAAGAGCGAAGATTATCCCCACAGATCAACAGAAGCTATTTTAGTCATCTTATCCTTAGGATGGCTTTCATTTAGATTTGATATTGGTTCATTCATGCGTCATTTCTTTATTCATTTGGATTTACACACCATACGAACACGAATATCGAAAAAACAAAGATTTTGAATGACAAATAAAGATAAAGTTATATTCATATATGAATGAATATATTATAATGGATAAATGTAGCAAATTCTAAAGTGAAATGCAAAAATAAAAAAGGGTATGTGACAATTGATATATTTAATTTAAAAAGGTAATATTATATGCTTATTGATTGCCTTCTTTTTCCTTCTCCTATAGTTAATGGAGATTGCTTTATAACAAGTTTCTACAAAAGTTTGACTATGGGTTCCTCTTTTGAGGCATGCTTGGCTTAGTAATGATGATGTTCCGAATGGGTAGCAGATTGGTTTCTCTTTAGCCTGAAAAAGGAAACCATTTTCATGAAATTCCCAACTTCTATCCAAACTTGAATTCTTCAATACTTATATCATGTGTCCTCTGATTCATTCGGCCGGATCATTCTAAAGGATCCTCTAAAGTCTTCATACAATTCTGAGACCATCTGGACGATCGCCAGTTGGGCATTATCTAAGCTCTCGGTGCGTTCCTCCGTTCGGCCAACAGAGCCCGTTGAACAATCCCCACGCTTGAAGATACTAGCTATTGAGGCCTTGTCTTCTAGAGCATCGACCCTAGTCATTAATTCAAGGATCGGCATTGTTTCAAGGTGGCGGGCCATCTTGTTGAACTTGTTGACTTTAGCGGTCATTTCATTCATGCGAGATTCCCAAAGTCTCATTTTGTCAGGAACTTCACTCATGCAGAGTAACGGTTCTTCGATTTTAGCTAGTAGATCAGCATGAGACTTACCCAGTTGTTTTGCAATAGACATGTTTGCGTAATACCTTTCTAGGAGCTGAACGTAGTTTTTTTTTTTTTTTTTTAAGATTAATTTCAAATCACTTTGGTTAAAATGAAATTAATTAATAAATATATC